CAGAGAGCATTGCATTCACTGAGTTGACTGTGCTTCCCATTGCCTTCACTGGTACATGCTGGAATCTTATTTGAATTCAGGAGGTTGTTGACCCCATTATTGAAAACTGTGTTTTCTGCATAGCTTACCGTGTTCAGTGAGAGAAGACTGCATAGTTAATGCACACTTTCTCCAGAACTGCACATTGATGTGTTTGGTAACTCTGCTCTGCATCTCCTTTGTTTGGGGATGGAGGAGGTGTAGATGTCACAAACTGAAGCATGGATTCCCCCATCTGATAATTTTTCCTGTCTTGCTTACCTCTTTGAAGTGCTTTATCCTTGCAGAAGTGCAGCTGAGATCCCTGGTGGGTGCTGAGGTCAGAAGTCCTGTGGCAGGAAGCCTGTAAGGATTCTGAGATGATGTGTTATTCAGCTGCCCGGCTTTTGTTTTTTATTCTCCCTGGTGACTGGTTGGCGGGCTGTTTGTGCAAAGTGCTCCTTCCTCAAGGTTATACCGGACAGACATAAAGGCAGAGTGCCCTCATGTCACAGATCTTGAAATATGTGAGCAATGGAGCTGTGGTCTCTGGCTGCAGCTTTGGTACTTCTGGTAGTGTGCTGTGGAATTGGCTCCCGAGTTAACTGGAATTCTCCACTGTGGTAGGAGTTGCAAGGAAGGGATGCAGCCATCTGATTCCACAGGGGTGTTTTCACTTGCAACTTCTCTTAGAGGTGTAAAAATTAGGCCATTGCTAGGAGCATAAAGGTAAGGTAAAGGGACACCTGACCATTAGGTCCAGTCGTGGCCGACTCTCGCTTTATTGGCCAAGGGAGCCGGCGTACAGCTTCTGGGTCATGTGGCCAGCATGACTAAGCCGCTTCTGGCGAACCAGAGCAGTGCACGGAAACGCCGTTTACCTTCCCACCGGAGTGGTACCTATTTATCTACCTGCACTCTGACATGCTTTCGAACTGCTAGGTTGGCAGGAGCAGGGACTGAGCAACGGGAGCTCACCCCGTTGCGGGGATTCGAACCACTGACCTTCTGATCGGCAAGTCCTAGGCTCTGTGGTTTAACCCACAGCGCCACCCGCGTCCCTAGGAGCATAGGATCCCTACAACTGCTACTCCTTTGCCTCTGTACCCCAATGACAACCATTTTTATCCACTGCACTGCAATAGTCTCATGCTGGTAAAAGGACGTTGCTGCACTAGTGTTTGGTTTGGTCTTTCACAAGCAGAAATGCTGTGTTCTGCTGGTACACAAGGTTTGGGTGCGATTAAATCCTGTTCAGCAAGTGAATGGTGTGGCATAAGATTGTTCTATCATATCTATCTATCATCTATCTATCTATCTATCATCTATCTATCTATCTATCTATCTATCTATCTATCTATCTATCATCTATCATCTATCATCTATCTATCATCTATCTATCATCTATCTATCATCTATCTATCATCTATCTATCATCTATCTATCTATCTATCATCTATCTATCTATCTATCTATCTAATCTATCATCTATCTATCTATCTATCTATCATCATCATCTATCTATCTGCTTCAGCTGTTGTCAAGTGTTCAAAATTTTAATTCCTGGCACCTCAGCTTTATTGTGTTGAATTATGTTCATGAATGGAGGGAATTTTGCTGTACAAAGTTTTCACTGTGGCAAACTGCTATTTATTATTGCTAATGTTTTGTTCTATTGTTGCATATTTTTTCTTCTTTTAATGTATGTATATTATTTCATTTCATCTGCTAACTAGTATAGGCAAGGTGGTATATAAAAAACACATAAATAACAATGGCTGTGTGAATTAGTACAGAAACTGTTTTGATGAGGTAAATTGGGTGATTTCAAATACTGGACAAGGAAATTCTTAAAGCTTTTTGACACAATTTTTGGATAAAGCATTTGCATTAAATAAGTTCAAATGCCATTCATTCACAATGTATCCTCAGCATAAAAATGAAGGGCTAGGGGGTGGAGAAGGTACGTACAGAGAAACCTAATCCTTTTCAAGAAACAAAAAAACCATATCATTTAAAGACTTTGGCAAAAATTCCACAGTGCTGTTTTGCTTTTTCACTGCCAGCAGTTTAACAGAAACAGGAGATTTCATGGAAAATATTATAGTTTGAAATACATATACCATTTTATTGTACCAAAATAGTGAAAAACTAAACAAAAGCCTAAATCCAGAACTACAATTCAATGGTTTTAATTATTTATTGTAAAGTTGCTTTGCTTTAAAGGGACAGTTGTCAGGGAAACAGTATAACAAAGAAGATTCAAGATGAAAATGGACACTGAAGTTTCCTTTACATGTTCAAATTTCATTCTCTATATGTGTTGAACAGATATAGGAAACACTTCATAAAAACAAGACTAGGAAAGAAACAATTGTCAATGGAAGAATTAAGTTTCTGCTCTACCATCCTGTTGCCCTGTTTTCAACAAATATTAGCACATGAATTTGTCTTGTATCAGTTGGTCTATCTCACACAGTACATCAGGGAAGAAGGAAGGAAGGTTGCGGTCCAGAACTACAATCAATGCACAATTATTGTGCATTTATTATTTTTATTCCTGTCACTGGATTTTGGTTCCTACTCCCACCCCTTAAATACCTGGAGCCACTAGACAGGTATTTCTTCAGGCATTCTCCATAGCCTTACAAACACTTAATTTGCTCTCTGTAAGGCTGAATGTGGGATTGAGGGTATTTCTGCAGTCCTATATCATAATATTCCTTTTGGATACAACTAGGGGCAGAGGGAGAGAGGGAAAGAGACATAGAGACATACACACTGAGACACAGGAAGAAGAGAACTCAGTTACCCTAGCCCCTTTTAAAAGCTGGATAAATATATGCTCCCTTGTAGGATATGGTGAGCACACTTAAACTACAATCAATGCATGACATCAATTGCATGAGATATGAAACTGATTAGCAGATGTGACAAACTCCTATATTTTGATGTAGACCAGTCACACCATCCAGAACAGATGCAGGGAACATTTATATGGTCTTTTAAATGTGCTTATGGAAGGGGGTTGCTGCTTTGCTTTTGTTTTATTATGTATTTTGTGTTCTCATTGTGAATTTTTACATTGTGAACTGTCTTGTGATCTTCAACTGAAGGGCAGTCTACAAATAAGAAGAAGAAGAAGAAGAAGAAGAAGAAGAAGAAGAAGAAGAAGAGGAGGAGGAGGAGGAGGAGGAGGAGGAGGAGGAGGAGGAGGAGGAGAATTTCCACTGGCATTGGAATGGTTGTGTTACTAGCATAGGAAAAAGCTAAAGGTAAAGGATCCCTGACAGCTAAGTCCAGTCAAAGGCAACTATGGGGTGTGGTACTCGTCTTGCTCCAGGCTGAGGAAGCCAGCGTTTCTCCAAAGACAACTTTCCAGGTCATGTGGCCAGCATGACTAAACCATTTCTGGTGCAACGGAATGCTGTGACAGAAGACAGAGTGCACGGAAATGCTGTTGACCTTCCCGCCACAGCGGTGCCTATCTATGTATCTATTTGCACTGGCGTGCTTTCGAACTGCTAGGTTGGCAGAAGCTGGGACAGGGCAACGGGATCTCATCCCATTGCGTGGATTCCTATGTTCATTATAATACTTCTGTTAAGGTTAGAGAACTCCCATTGTGTGAAAGAACCAACATGCTCCTTTTATTTGTTTGTTTTAAAGAAAAGAAAAACCCAAAGTAGGCATTGATAGTTAACAAATAAATATCCTTTCTCAAAGAAAATCATACAAGTGTTTAGATGGTAATAATTAAAAACCTGAACTCAAGGGCCTCCACTATGTCATCATAGTGGACTAACATTTGCCCTCTATGTGAGCCACACAACATTACTGAACCCAATGGAATGCACAAGTCCCGCTAAGTGCTTGAATGTGGCTACAGTTCTCAAAATTTATTAGCTGGTGAAGGAAACTCTGCTAGCCAAAGCCATGATTCAAGAAAGTTGTTAACGTGAGTCAAACCTCATACGAGAACTTCAGTTTTATTTTAACAAAAGCCTGATGTGGTTTTGATCACTGCCTGCTACTCCTCCATTCTCCTTCTGGTAACCCCTCAACACCCCCCCTCCCCTGCCCTGTAACTTCCATACAATTTATTCCCCAGTGCTTTTCTTTTACATGTCTGACCCAGGACGTTCTCTCTCTTTTTGGATGAATTCACATTTATTTAATTATGCTCCAAGTTGGGCTATTCTTAAACAAAGCAGACATCAGTCCCGGGCTTGCATATAATTAATCAAAGTGGCCAATGTTATCCTAAGTAACTGAAGGCTTCCTGGATTACAGCAGCATTATTAGCATGTGATTAATAAGCAGTTAATGCAAACCAGCTCCCGCAACACATTTGTTAAGATATTTTATCTAACTTCAAAGTTCTGCGACAAAGTTCCAAGCCATAGTTAAGAGACCTGCTTTATTTAGTAATACATTGTTAAAAGCACCATCTGGTCAAACAGCTGATAGAACTCAAGCATATGGGGGCCCCCAGTTGTTTCTTCTGGGAAATATATGTGGCCTACTGTATTGTGTAATGATAGCAATTTTAAACTAACCAGACCAAACTTGCAATATCACTTTTGTTCCATGTGGTCCATAGCTATTGCAATAAAGGAAGATGATGGCGATGAGACTAAAATTACAAGTAATAAGCTAATAGCAAACTCAGGGGCTGACTTACTGCAACTTTGTAGCCAATGCAGGGTTACTGAGAAGCAAGGGGAGAGGAAACTTGCAAGGAAACCCACCCCCCACCACAAAAAGATCCATCTCCCACAAAGCGGCCCTTGCCCCAAATAGGGAATACTGAGCATACTTAGAGGCCACAGTGTCTGCTGGAGGCCAGAGGTGAGCAGAATGGGAAGGAACATCATGAAAGAAGGCACAGCTGTCTGGCATACTCAACAGGAACAATATGCACTGCTACATTTTGCTGTAAGTTCTGCTAGTATGCATAATAATTTAAGATTAACACTTACTTGAGGACCAGGTTGACCCTGCAAAGGAAAGGAAAGGAGTTAGAAAAGGTCTAAACTTGGTTTCCTCCCCACCCCTCCCCGCAGGCCCACAAGTCATTGAGCATCAGGTGAAATGCAGCCTCTATAAATACAAAAACTCTGCAGCTGAAAGCTCATAGCCTAAAGACACTTGGTTAGAATGCCAATTAGTGAATTAGTTAAAAGTAACAGATCCAGAATGGGAGTGACAGAATTATTTGAAGAAGGAATTTCATTTAAGAAGCTTCTTAAGTTCTTACAGCGTCTAGTTAGTTAGGTGCAAGCCAGAAGCAAATTTGGTGTATAATGTGAGATGAAGAAACTGCGCGATTTTATTTTCAAAATGGGCTGCTAATGACTTATGTAAAATTAATGTGTCCAACAGACAAAGTTGGAAGAAAAACAGCCATTTCCAACTACAGTACTTGTGATTCCTACTGCATGCATGCTACAATCCTTAAACCACAATACTCCTGAGGTAGGGTCACTAGCTAATAATGGATTTTGGTAAGACTGCTTGAGAGGAGGCCCTAAATGAAGAATCTGATAAATACAGGGTTGGATGCAGAATTAAGTGTGAATAATGAAACTGGTGAAAGCTGACTTCCCTGCTTCTCCACCATACAGCAGCCTCCCCACTGAAAATGCTCTACTGAGTGTCAAGTGGGAGAATGGACTGTGCCAAACGGGGCGAGCTTTTTTTGTGCCATATGTGCAAGGAGAAAGAGTGGGGGTACTTGAAAGTCAAGTGAAGGCACCTTCAATGAGAAGTCACAGAGAGAGAGAGAAATAAAAAGCTGTACTCCATCACTTGGCCTGCCAATGGTGAAACGGCAGAGCAATGGATTTGTCAGTGGTTCAGCCAGCAGATCTCCTTTCCCACCCCAAAGCATAAAGCTAACTCTGCTAGATTTTTAAACAGCCCCACTACCTCTTCAATTGTACCCATTGGACACCACAATATTTAAAACTTGCAAAACTGCTCATAGAATGTCAACCCATCCTCAAATGACTTCATACTGTTTCTGTATGTATTTATACATACATGCCTGTTTGCATTCAAGGCCTATAATGAGGATACATTTCAGTGTTCTGCATTGCAGACTTTCCCTGCTTGAGAACTTTGTGTTGTTCATAATGCACTAGAATTATTAAACTTTTTTTTAAAGGAACTTACAATAAAAGAAACTGTGTATTATGTTACACACACACACACACAAAAAAAAAAGAAAAATAGAAAAATATCTATAACAGTTGAATCAGATACTCTACTACGTAATTTGGTCTCGCATTCTTGTATAAAGCAACCCCTTTCCATTTCAAACATACTTTCATTACACACTCCCTATTTCATCCATAATGCTCATGTTAGTTTACTTAAGACAGCTGTATCCCTTAATTCTACATACCATTCTCTTAATTTAGGTATTTGCTGAGTCCTCCAATATCTGACATAAATTAAATCTGGCTGTTTTAATCAGGGCTGTTCCAAGACATTTTTGCTGCCTGAGGCAACGAGATGGCAGCCTCCACCATCCCATGTACAAAAACCAACAACTGGTGATGGGATGTAGTCTTCCATGGCACCTGAGGGCTAGCTTAGGGAGTAAAATATGATCTGCATGGGTCAAATAGCTCTGTATGCCCTCTACCCCTTTGCTGCCTGCAGGGCTGCCTCACTTATCTACAGTCATATGGAACAAAGCCCCTTTTAATCACTATCAATATTGTTACCAATAATACTATGGTTTCTAACCCCCGTCTTCCAAAATATTATTTTTTGCTTTCTGAATTTGCCTCCATAAATTTATTGTGTAACTACAGGACCACCAACAATGGACTACTTTATCAAACTGAATTCCCACTACTGTGGGTATTGTTTTAATTCATGAATTGTTGCAGCCTTAATTCTTACTGGGAGTCCAATTTCATTTACCAATTGAAATTTCTTTAAACTAAATCTGACTTCTGAAAGTCCTGCTGGATTTTTACTGTCTTGCACAGAATCACAAACTGCTGGCCAAACATTTTGATAACTGTGAGACAGGGACAAAAACCTGCTTCTGGTCTCGGACTTGTAGTGCCTCACCAGGACAAAATGGCAGCTTTGCCAAGTAAGATGAATTAGGCAGACACAAAGATGCAGAAGTTTAAACTCTATAGTTGCATGAAATAGTAGCCCTTTGTCTTTTACAGCTCATTATATGGTTGCTATATTATTTAATAGGTGACAGTAAAATCCAAATTTAGCAAAGTGCAACGTTCTGTTTTAAGACATTTCCATTGCTTAAGAGACAGAAAAGGAGATGGAAGAGGGGTGTCTTTTGCATGCACACACGCAGGTAGAAACATACACTCAATTTTAGATCATTTAAAAAAACTGATACAGTAGTTAATTTTCATTACTTTCATATATGTTCTATTAATTTTCTCAGGCCAAAGAATTACATGAAAGCATACTGCTCTATACTTTCTTGCACCATGACATCCCTCAAAAACATACACATTGCAACCCTAGCCAAGAGAGAAATTATATATGCCCAGTGCTACAAATAGATGCCTGGATTTCAATACCATAGATTATTAAAATATATACTGGTAAATGTTTCTATTAGGAAAGGTGGGAGGGAGGGAGGGAGCATAGCTGTCAAGTGTCCCTTATTTGAAGGGACAGTCCCTTATTCCAGCACCATGTCCCGCTGCTGTCCCTTATTGATGGATGTCCCTTAAATGTCCCTTAAATCAGTGTTCCCCAACCTTGGGCCTCCAGCTGTTTTTGGACTACAATTCCCACCATCCTTGACCACTGGTCTTGCTAGCGAGGGATGATGGGAGTTGTAGTCCAAAAACAGCTGGAGGCCCAAGGTTGGGGAACACTGCCTTAAATGATGTCCCTTAAATTTCAAAGGAAGCAGCTCCTCTCCCTCCCTCCCTGCCGGCCAGGGAGGAGGGAGGCTCCAACTGTGTTGCTTGGCTGTGTTGCTCACCCAATAAGAAGTCTAAGAATGGGGGGTGGAGCTTGCATGCCTTGTGTGTGGCTAGTTAATGCAAGCTGAGGGGTTTTTTGAATGCTGGACGCCATTTTGTTGCACGTGCTGCTGCAAACTTTGCAGTGCAAAGTTGAGGCTGCATAGGCCTTGTGGTGCATGTGATTCAGATTCTATTCAGTTGAACCTCTGGTTACAAAGTTGGTTGGACACTGTTCTCAAAGCTAGCAGCATGAGTTTGACCAGACTGCAGGAGGACAGGAAGACTGGAGTGCCTGGAACAGGTGAGGCTGCAGGTCCCTTATTTTGGCTGCTGGTCCCTTATTTTCAAATCTGTAAGTTGACAGCTATGGGAGGGAGGGAGGGAGGGAGGGAGAGAGAATTTTGTAAGAGCTCAGAAGGCATTTTGCTGAGACCAGAATATAGATATTGTTATAAGTTTAAAGGGGGAGTAGGCTGCAAGACAAGACTCTTCTAATGCCTACCCCCACCTTTCTAATTCCTGGATCCAGCATGGATTCAATTGCTGGAATAGCTAGTCAAGCCTGGTAATGGCCCGCTAAGTATGGGTTGTTAAGGTGACAAAGGGAGTGGCTCTGTGCCACAGGGCAAATGGGTGGGCCTCCCGTATGTCTCTTGGAAAGAGAGAAGGCCAGAGTTGAAAGTTGAGTTATGTGAGCTAGAAGGGAGAAGAAAAAGTTGTGAGCTTGGAAGTGAGAGGGAGTCAGAGCAAGGTTTGAAAAAGCTATGGAAGAAGCAAGACCCCTTTGGGGTACTGATGCTGTGAACCCCTCCACTGCAGGCTCAGGTTGTATATTTGTGTGAATAAGCCATATATCATAAAGACACAACAGTCTCTGTTGGGCCTCATTCCAAAAGGAAACACTGGTTAAGTGCCTAGGACACTCAGAGATTGGGGTGGCATGCAACACTATGGAACAGTTGCAATGAACAGAAAGCAGAGAGCATCCCATGGCCAGTTTGGATATGAAAAACCCTTTCTTCGGTTCAGAATACATGGAATATGGTAAGATATTTTCAAGTCTATACTGCTATAGGTGGCACACAGCTGCTATTAAGGCTGCAAAAACTGTGCAGTCATTTTATTAAAAATAGCATAACAGACTTATGGTAAGTGGACACTAGTATTGGACATATTTCCTGTTCCTGGAATACAAATCATCATGAGATCAAATAATTATTTTCCTCTATTAGTCTTCTACTAATAAAAAGATTTGATCTTCTGGTAAGTTGTCAAATGGGAAACATTCTAGGAATCCAGGCATATCATCATTTTTTCAATTCCTGATGCGCTACATAGCCAAAATGTCATCATCCACACAGAAGTGGGAGGTATCAAGAAGCAGTATTTCATGTTAGAAATGTGGTGAATATCCAGTTTACCCTGGTACATCTAGCATTGCAAGTCTGAGCAGTACTCATGGCATCCACTAAGAGGGCTGCAGCTATCTGACAGGCAATATTCTAAGTTATTAATATTGCAACTTTTGTGGACTATAGCAACCCATTTACCCATAACTCAAAGGATGAAGGTTTGAAAATAGGATTGCAATCTGATTAATGGAGGAGAACGTTAAATGCACCTTTGGTGTCAGTACGTCTCTCTGAAGTGTTCTTTAGAAAGTGCCCCCCCCCCCCCGGCACACCAGGCTCCATAAATTTTCATTGATTCCCATCACATGGTGAATAACAAAAAAAAAAATCAACCAAATAAGGGAAAATCACTTCTGGAGCTTCAGTAATTATTTTGCCTTTTACTGATATAATAAATTTTACACAGAAGGACCCAGTTCCACAAACATTCTGGCACTGAATAACGCCATTTACAGGACTTTTAACACGTGGCTGAATATTGAAGTCCTTGAGGAAGAAAGCCTTTGACTAACTGAATATATATAAAATTCCAGTTCCTATATCATATAGCACCTATAGGAAACAAATACAATAATTTGCCATGTAATTGACTATTTGAGGTTGTGGGTATCTCATAATGGATAATTCCAAGTTAGGGGGCTGTAGCAGAGATGGGAAAACTTTGGCCCTCCAGATGTTGTATGAAACCTGCAGCCCAGGCAATGATCAGAGGTGGTGGGAATTACAGTTTAACAACATCTGAAGTGCCACTGGTTTCCAAAGATTTAGGACCCAAGGCCAGGGAGCAGTAATATACCGAAGCCTGTTTACTGGTATCTTTCTATTATGAACTGCATTTTGAATAAAAGGGTGTTTCAATTTAACATACAGTAACAATAAAAAATTAAAATTATTTATGTTTATTTTATTTGTTAGAGTTATATACCACCCTTCATCTCTGAGCAGTTCACAGGGTAAAAGACAAGTAAATAGTTAAAACAAAAACATCGAAACAATAACCCCCCCATAAACTATAAACACAAGTTAATATCTAAAACAAAAACAGCAACCCCCTTATAAACTATAAAACTCTTTTGAATGGCTACTCTCAAGTGAATTTGGTTATATAAAAAGGAAAAGACAGAGGTACTAAAAGCAAGTCAATTTGATAAAAGTTCCGTAATTTTGACTACAAATAGTAAATTGTAAGTTGACAAAAATATGCAAGCTTCATAAGTGATTCAAGATAGGAAGAAAAAAGTAAAGTACATTGAAAGGCTCAGTAGGTTTTTTTTTTTGGGGGGGGGGAATAGGAGTCACGTACCAGCTTTCCATCCAAACCAATTGGACCCTAGGATAATCAGAAGCCAAAAGGACATAAAATTGTTAAATCAAATGAATGCTGATGTCAGGGTAAATGCAAACTTGTGGAAAAGTTTAGGCTATTATTTGCTGATTGTCGGCAGTGAGGTGCAATGCCCTTAGGGCATCTCAGTCAGCAAAGCTGAGAGAAAGCAACAGCAGGGGAAGCAGATATAGAAAGGTATTAATCAGAACAGGATGTTGGAAAGTCACCAGGCAGTTGTTGGTGCTCGACAAGGAGGAGTTCGTGAAAGCTAGACTTGCAAGCCAGAAATGTTATTTTGGAACACAATATATGAAATAATGCATCTGGCTTTTATTTTTCCTTCTGAACAACTAGGTAGCTAAATGAGGTGAACTGTGTACTATTAGGCTGCTACCACAACTATAGCTTCAAAAACATATCTTGAGTGTAAATACTTGTCTCTTGGAGGTTGGATGCAATTCAAGGGTGAGGTAACTAAACTTATTTATGTTATGAAAGATGCACTGTCCAATAACCAGCGGGTGCCAACAGGGTTTTCTTGAACCTTGTACTGAATGTAGACTGAGCCCTTCAAACCACTCACAGAAAAGGCCACAGATTTGCATAAAATTTGCATAGATTTGAGATATTATACTAATTTATTGCCATTTGATGAATTGGAGAGGGATCAATAATAGCCAGTTTAAGTTCTCTTTCTCCTAAACTTCCCTTTCCTAAATAGTCTTTCTGTAAATATTTGAGCATCTTGATTTCCCATGTACCAACATTTATTGTGGCGATCTCTTTAGATTTCGACAAATTCACCAATATGGATTCTAGAATGATGTTTTGCATCATGTACTGTCTTCTGAATATATGTTTCCCTTACTAACTTTCAGAATAGGATTGGCTTATTTATTTCTACAGGGTCAAGACTTTTAGCTCAGAATGGTCTCTCTGGCTTTTGGAATGGGGGAGCAGGGTTTTGTGCTTTAAGAAAATCATAAATTACAGTATTTACAGAGATTAAATCAATATTAATGGAAATTGACATTCAAAGGGGCTTCACAAATGCAGGGAAAATGTTTTGGTTGGTTGTTGTTTTTGTAAAAAAAAGAAAGAAAAGCTTTAATGTCAACTTTTTAAATATTGCTGCAGATTGTCAGTCCATCATAAAGCAGATGAAGTGATCAAATTTCACAGCTGGAAGAAATAGTCTGGAGTTAACAGATGGAAGCTGTTTATGCAGTATGATTTGGGTTCCACAGAACCTTAAGGACATGCCGCATGGAAAAACAACTTCCCTTTGGTATTAACATTTAAGCTTTTTCTATAAATGAAAGCAATGTGTTTTAAGTTTATTCAAATGAGTTCTCAGTTCTATCTGCTTATTTATATGTCCTTAATGTAAGTCAGCCCCATACATATATTCATACATAACAGCACAATAATGGCCTTTTCTTTGGGCTGATGTTTCGTTAACACCCTCAGATAATTACATTCACAGACTTGCACCCACAATTGGGGCTAGAATTCAAAAGAGCTCCCAGGCTCGCAAAACATTTCTGACAATCTGCCCAGGGGTGACACAAAGGAAGCTACTGTGCTCCAAGCACTTTTGAAAAATCTGACCTTGAATCGAGGCTGTATTCTTTTGAAAACATGTCTCTAAATTTGGATGTTGAACACTTGAAAATCAAACCCCTGGGGGATTTTGGGAATCTGTCCCATATACACTAATGCAATAATTAAACATTGGCTGCCATTTGAAGCATATTTACTATGAAGTACATTCCACTGTATTCAAACATGACTGTGAATGTATTTAGAACCGGGCTGTTTATCACTGTGGACAATTGTGCAGGCAGAAAAGGAGGGTGTCTGAGGGATTCTTGGCTGGAAAGAAGACTTATTTCCACAGAGTGCTATATAAATATTTGCTAGCTAATCCTCACCTCTGTGGTGAGGTATGTTTGTGCAAATGGATAGAGAGATAAATCCTTTAAAATGCCTCCTCTAGGGCTCTCTCAGCCAGCAGTAAGCTTAACAAGTTTGGTCCACAGCAGAATAAAACATTTTACAGTACAATCCTATACCCACTATCCTGGGAGTAAGTTCTGAATAGAAGATGTAAAGGACTACAATGTCAATCAAAGTGACCTTTCTTCAGCTGTCTCCATCACCTCCTTATCTTGTATATTTATTTTCCACATATCTGTGAGTTTGTTCACCTGCTTTCTACTCCTGAATAATTTTGTGTGCATGGACAACCATGTATGGAGCAGACAGGATAGAAAACAAACTGTGCCTGAGGAACCTGCAACCTTTCACCTGCAAGAACCACCATTTGTGATCTCCCTAGAAAATGTACAAAAAAATTACAGTATTGATCTTGTCCCTGTCTCTTGCTCACAAGAAGACTTGCAAGTTGATCTGGATATTTATTTACTTTTTTAACAGGGTGGGGAGGGAAATGGTTTAAACAATTTTTTAAAAAGGCTCTCCCATCAGATGTCAAAGAAATAAACAACTATCTGACTTTTAGAAGACATCTGAAGGCAGCGCTGTTTAGGGAAGTTTTTAATGGTTGATGAATTATTGTATTTTAATATTTTGTTGGAAGCCACGGGGTAGAATTATTATTATTATTATTATTATTATTATTATTATTATTATTATTAAAATTGCTTTGAAGAAGAGATGTCAGAGGGCTTCCTTTTGTCCATACACTCAGGAAGGGGCGGCACATCATAACGTACCACCATTTCCAGGGGTTTTTTTAGTCAAAAGTTTTTTAAAAGTATGGCAAGTGCCATGCTTTCTAGCCACTGCAGGCAGCTAGGGCTTGTTGTTTAAAATAAGGAAAGAATCCAAGAATTCATTGGGCTACCTTATGCAAATGTAGGTTGGTGATGAACCATCCTCTGGGAATAATAATAATAATTTATTACTTATACCCCACCCATCTGGCTGGGCCTTCCCAGCCACTCTGGGCAGCTTCCAACAGAATATTAAAAACACAATAAAACATCAAGCATTAAAAACTTCCCCAAACAGGGCTGCCTTCAGATGTCTTCTAAAAGTCAGATAGTTGTTTATTTCCTATGGGAAGATTTGTAGACATGTGATCTGATCCACATGTCTATGTTTCTGAACATGTTGTGGCAGATGTGGAATGAGGAGCTTTGCTCCCAACTGCATAATGAACTGAAATCCTCCTATATCCCTTTGCATGAAAAGGCAAAAATTCAACAGGTGAAGCTTTTATTGGGGGGGGGGAGGCCATTGTATGTTTGCCTTTTCAATTTATGGCAGAAGCACTGAAGAAAAATATATATGGGAATGCTATCTTTCCATATACAGTGGTACCTCGGTTTAAGAACTTAATTTGTTCTGGAGGTCCGTTCTTAACCTGAAACTGTTCTTAACCTGAAGCACCACTTTAGCTAATGGGGCCTCCTGCCTCTGCCATGGCGCAATTTCTGTTCTCATCCTGAAGCAAAGTTCTTAACCCGAGGTAATATTTCTGGGTTAGCAGAGTCTGTAACCTGAAGCGTGTGTCACCTGAAGCGTATGTAATCTGAGGTACCACTGTAATTGGTTATCATACTTGCACCATCTCGCTTATTTTCTCACAAATACAATAAATAGTCCTCTTCTTGCCAGGAAAGAAATCATTTACTTTACTCAATTCAACAGGTCTATTTTAGAGTAAATGCTTAAGGAGTCTAGCTACAAGAATTATCTCAATCTGCAAATCATTTGTACATCGTACTGTGACAACTCTTGAGCACTTGACCAAAACCAGTTTTATTCACTGAATGGAAAATATATCAGTGGATAAAAGAAAGCCACATAGAGATTTGTATTTATAAGAGAGGTTAATATTAATAAGAGGTTAATATTAAAATGCCAATTTTAAAAGCTTTTCTGTGTTAAACAGCACTTGCAAATTATTCAGTTTAGATTCAGGTAAGATGAAAGATGGAACATGTTTCTTATAACCTTTCCTCTGCTGGTTCATGATTCACTCTGCTGCTGTTCGTCATGAAACCCATTAAAAATAAATGATCTCCATTTCTTCTTCCTACCTAAGTTAATTATATGTTTAGCAATAGTCGCTTTATATTGGGTGCTTTTATGCGATTCCCCAGTAGTCTGATGAGATTTCTTTGTTACAGGAAATTTGGAATTCAGGTAGGTAGGCTAATGTGTTCTTGCTAAGCTTCTCCCTGCTGCCTTCCCTTTCATAGAGGAGTTACTCTACATGCTAAATCCTTTCTAGTAATGAAACTCGCTGCTGCTTCTGCTGGAATGAGTATAAGTGGACTGTTGTTAAAAGCAGCAATAGAAAGAAACTACTTTCACCCACCCCAAGGTCCTGTGCTGGATCTCAAACATATCCAGACCAGGGGGGTTTTTTCAGCTGGAACACACCGAAACTCAGTCCTGGCATTCCTCAGGTGGTCACCATTGCCATTATAAGAGAACAAGGGAGGCGTTCATGGTGAATTCTGGCACCTCTTTTTCTGGAAAAATAGCACTGATCCACACCATATACTTAAACATTTGAAGCATATAGTTTTCCCCACAGGATAAACTGTAGTTTATCAGAGCTCCAAGTCTCAGTACTCTTAACAAAGTAAAGTTCCCAAAATTATTTTGGGGAAGTTGTGAGTTTTAAATGTATGGTATGGACATGACCAAAGGTTCTGATAGACCACATGGTTTGCCTGCAGAAGGTCCCAGTTCAATTCCCAAGATCTCCATGGAGGTTTGGGGAAAGCCCTGTTTGAAACCCTGGAGAACAACTGCCAGTCAGTGTAGACCAGGCTTCCTCAGCCTTGGCCCTCCAGATGTTTTTGGCCTACAACTCCCATGATCCCTAGCTAACAGGACTAGTGGTCAGGGATGGTGGGAATTGTAGTCTCAAAACATCTGGAGGGCTGAGGTTAAGGAAGCCTGGTGTAGACAATGCTGGCCTACATGGTTCTGACTCAGAGCAAAGCACCTTCCTGTGTTTT